TTTTTTTTTTTTTTTTTTTTTTTTAAAAAAAAAGAGGCTGTGTTGCAGCGCGTGTTCCAGGCTACACAGAACAGGGAAGTGGAAACATCAGTTAATTAAAGCCATGGTAGGATGGAGAGAAAGCAGATGAGGCAGGAAGCACCGAGGTTCCCACCAGCTGCATGCTGTTACGAAAGGGAAGATGTGCTGCAGAGTAAATCAGCAAGCCAGAGGCTCCCGGGAGCCCTGGCCAGCCCCGCTCTCCCACGCTGGCCCACAGCAGAGGTAAGAGATGTGGCCATGGCACGTCAGGAGCGGCAAGCGCTGCTGGAAGCGTTAACTGGTGTCGTGCTGGACAGTGCAGCAGTTTAAACTGGATTGACGCTGGTTTTGTTGAATTGCACTTGAGTTCTGAGCCCGTTCTAAGAGAGGGAGCAAATCAAACCCAGAGGTATTTTCTTACTGTACGTTCAAACACAGCGTGAATGAGCAGCCACCCCAGGGCAGGGGAAGTGTGGCCTGAGAGCACCGTGCTGGCAGCGCGAGGACTTAAATCTGTGCGAGAAAACAGGCAGAGCTTGCTGCCCGCAGGGCTCTGTGTAGGTCAGAAAATGCCATGATCCATTAAGAGAAGTCTTGAGCTTCTCTGAATCAGATGCCCAGAAAGAACTTGTTCTCATTCCACGTTCCTCTTCCTCCGACAAACGTAAATAGCCACAACCCAAAATAAAGCGTGATTTCACATACACGGCATGAAGGATGTGCAAGTAGCCAAAAGATGCAGAAGAAAACGACACGAAGCCGTGAAAGGACTTTGGCATGTTAACAGACCTGTCATGCCTCACCCTGTTCATAAACAAAAGAACACAAATGATTCAGTCCTGGCCCCGAAGGAAACGCATCCACACAGCGTCACTGATAAGATACCTGTTAACATAACGACCTTTATTTGGCTCTGTAGGACTGTTGGACACTTAGACCAAATTGTACGTACAGTATGTCTGCTGACAAATCCATTACGGAAAATACTAGGTAGCTAATACTTAGTATTACTCAGCAGTTTAGAGGAATATTTAAATCTGAATATGGCTGTGAAGTGAGCAAGGAACCTTATTTACTAGTCCTATTTTACAGAAAAGAGGTAGAGAACTGAGGTGATCCGTTTCCATAGCTTGGTTAGCGTTAACTACATCAGAAATAAGGAGTCAGCTCTCAAGGTATCATACAGTTCCCAACATTTTCCCCAAGGCTTTAATTAAAAATAATAGCCGAGGACACTGCAATCTTGGTCAACCTTAAATTTGTTAACTCCCCTCTTGCATTCGTTGTAACCGAAGGGATTCTGGTGCTCAGAGGAGTGAAAAAGCAATATTGAAGTAATTTTATTCTTATTATTAAAAAGCCAGTTTGAAGTAATTTTATTCTGCCCAGTCCGAAGCAGAGAAAAATCCGATGGCAGTTTTACAACTGGACGCGAGGCTTGAATTAAAACGCAGACGTTTAATTTGTATGATAAAGAGCTGTAATTCTCAAAATAGCAAGCTGAAAACTTTTTGTTCTTCTTATTAAAGTTTCTCTGCCCAGGGAGAGGTTTGCAGGGCTCCCCCACGGTGGGTTTGTGCGGGGCAGGAGCCAGAGCCACCCTCTGATGCTGTGGGCCATGAAATCTGTCAACCGTGCGTCAGGCTGGTTTCTCAAAAAAACTCCTTCCGTGCGTGGATTTAGGTGTTTTAAGGCAGTCAGCAGAGAAAATCTGCATTTTCTTCATTCAAGCCTGTCCCCTCACTCCCGCTTCCTCAAAAGTTGAGAAGGGCCAATAGCTAAAGCTGCTTAGGTCAAAACCGCTTGTAAAAACGAACGCTGCGTTCCTGCCTCGCCGGCGCAGTTTCACGGTGGCTTTGTTGCCCCGGGGCGGGTTGTGATTGTAGCACTGTTATATTCTGGAACGCGTCTCTAGAAAAAGCAGGATGGGGGCAGAAGACGCTGCTCCCAAACTGTCACAAGCAGCTTCTGCTGTGACTGCACGCATGAAAAAGTGCAGATTTAAGATACCAATTCTGTACCATGTGATGTTGATTTTCTCACTCCTCTCCCCAGGAATTGCTCCTTTTATGTAAGTTTATCCAGAACTAACATATTAAGCTCATCCTTCAGAATCTTCAGAATCTTACTGATTTACTCCTGAGAATGGTCTTTCAGGCAATAGCATCCATGAAGTAGCTATGGATGCTACCGAACCCAAATCTTCCTGAAGTCTGTCTACTTAATGTTTTGTATATTTAAACGCATAAAAGATTCTGAAGGTACGCAAAACTCTCTTGACAGTTGTTCCTCTTGATACCGGTCTCTAATTACACAGAGCAAACATTATTAAAAAAAAAGTGATTGTTGAAGAAGTTAAAAGTGAAGAAGCTTCATCCTGAACAGGCCACATCCCTCTCGCCACGACTGTTATCTTAGAGCGGAGGAAAAAAGGGAATGAGAGGGGAAAGCAGATCCAAACCGCTCAGAGGCCGCGTTGGAAGACCTGGGAAACGCACTGGCAAACGCCAGCGAACGGAGCACGAACCTGAAATTCAAGAACCGAGGCACAGACTACACCGAGCAAGTGTTCATGCATCAGTCACGTTTATTGGTGCATCGACAATTTTTGCAATTCAGGGCACATGTTCAAGGAAATACGTTACAGCAACTGCTCGGCACTGCTGACACAAACCAGAACGCTGTCCCACGGGGTGATGTTGGTTAACTCCAACTTGGAGAAGGGTTTGCTAATGCTGCTGGGACACACTGCTGACCTCGGTGACAGTCCTCGTGCCACGTTGGGAGCTCAGACAAGCCTTTAAAGCGCTGTTCTAACCACCAGATGATGTGTGTCTCTTCACACAGCGTAACGTGTTGGTGAAAGGCCACATGATTAGAGCGCGTTAGGCTCTTCTCTCATTAAAGAAGGAATTTAGCGTTGGTGAAAGGGTCAGACTGGCACCAGGAAACCAGAATTCTTTATTTAAATGGAAATCCAGAATAACGTAGATCGATAAAACAATACCAGTGACCCAGCTTTTAGTAAGCACAACTCTAAGGCAAAAATTTCAGTTTCCAGAAGTAAATTCCTGAAGTATTCAGCAAGGAATTTAATATTTATTTTAAATCTATATGGGAGCAAGTGGCGACAGCAAGGACATAAGCCTGTATCTTACAGGCTCTCTGGACTGGTCTGAGCAGGTGACACTGTTCCCGAGCCTCTGTCCCGCCTCTATCCAAAAATATCCCCAAATATCATCTTGTGTAATTAATAACAGTTCAGTGCAAACGTATTCACGATGTTCAGAATTTCATCCTACGAGTACCAAGATGCCATTTTTGTGATACTTCCGTAATTGTATCATTAAGGGCAGTAAAAAGGTACTAAAAAAATCCCCTAACGTGTCCATTTAAAAAAAAAAGAAAGGGAGTTGTACTTTGAATGTATCCATCTCACATTTTAAATACTGCAGATACTTTCTGTTTGGGAGAATCACATGAGGTTTTTGTCTCACCATCAATACCACAGTTATTTGTTCTTTGAAAGAGTTTGTCAGTGTGTAACAGTTTTCAACTTTTACAAAGATGAGTTACAGCAGTTCAGTTGACATTTTTTAACCAAAGAGATTTTATTTTCTAGGCAACAAAAGGAAACATCCAAGAGGTGATACTGACACACCTCCCTCAAATGGAGCCGATTCTCTGTTAGCGGATCTAACGCACACATGATATAGCAAAGCTAAACACTCCGGATTAAATTAAACTAACTTTAAAAATACCGCAACTGGGAAATACCAAAAAAAGTATTTTTAGACACTTTCAGAAATCCATCCAGGATGCAAAGCTAAAGTCTAAGTGTTGCTCCCCAAAGTCAACGCATCTGCAAACATGGCAGACAATAAATATGTATCTTCCGCTTGTGTTTCAAAGACACCCAAAAATAATCACCTTGTACCCCGCTCTGAGGTAGGTATTATGTCCATTTTACAGATGGCAAAGGGTGAGGAACAGCTCCTTATCCAAGGCGTCTCACTGCTTCAGTGTGAAAGCTGAGAATACAATTTAGGATTGACAGTCTCTTGGTCTCACTCCTAGACAGTATTTCAACTCAAGTAGTTATAACACAGTGTAATCTTAAAGTTCCTTTGAACTGTCAGGTATTTCTTTAGGTTTATAAGCATCAGCTTCTAGAGGGCTGCGTTTAATGTTGGGGTTTCGTTTTTGTTTTGTTTTTTTGGTTTTTTTTTTTCCTAATGACAGGCTAAAAGCAATGTGGGGTTTAACACTGGAAGCTAAGTGGCTTTCTATAGGAAACTCCCAACAGTGCTAATGTGTATTTTAATACTGAATTAAAGAGAAACCTGGTCCACAGTGCTGTTCGTGATTCTGTTCTTTATACTTAATTATTCATGCCGCAATTCAGCAAAGCACTTATGTAATTATGTTCCTTCTTCAAAAAGACCCTCCTGTATTTCAAGGTCCAACTGGGAGCGTCAGCTAAGAACTTCTGTGAAACGTGCTTTTTACGGAAAAGACGTGTTTGCTGCACCAGGATTTAGCTGGATGCTCTAACGAATGGAGGCTTTAAAACTAGATCTTAGATTCCAGTCAGAAAGTGCGTTTATTTCTGCCTCAGCCCAGAGATGCACATTCTTGCTCCCCATTTGTAAAAGCGTAAGGTAACTCAAAACAGAGTAATAAAAGAATAGCAGGCTAAGAATATTTAAAAATTCAATAAAACAAATGTGTGTAACAGGCATTTCAAAGAAAAAAAAAATCCCTTTCAGTAATACGCACCTTTACAGCACCTTTTAAAAGGCCTCAAAAGCACTTACAGTTAAGCCTCACAACCCTGCTGTGAGGTAAGATATATTAAACCAATTTCAACTTCCCTGATTCTGAACAGAACGAGAAGTAGGGCAGTTTACACAGCCTATTTTGTTCCGAAAATTAAACTGCACCCTTCATTATCAGAATTAAAGTCTTGCTACTGAGCAGTCATCAGTGACAAATCACCAAACACATTAAGGCAGGATGCAGATGAAGAAACTTCAAGCCTCCCTTCTGGGTTAGCACTCTGTCCTTGTCAAAAAGGGCAAAACGTTTTACCAGCAAAGAGTGAGAACTACACCTTGCGAAGTGCTAACTTACAGTATTTGGAATCTGGTACGGCTTAGTAACACCGTGGCCGTGAGGTCGGCTATACCCAAGTCTGTTTAAAAGTATTTAAGCGATGCAAATTAAGTCACTTCCCTAACTACTGTATTGCCCTCTTGCCAGAATTTCAGATACTCTTATGAAGAAGAATCCAAAGTATTCCAAAAGAAACGTGCCTATGTTCTGATGCAGTGTAAACACCGGGGGGGTTGATAGTTATTTTTCAAGCAACTAAAAACTACCTATGGAGGATTAATAAGTTTATTCAACACCTAACCATCTACTCATTAATTTAAAAGGCTATCTTAAAGCTTAGAGGCCATTTCTTTCTCTAAAGTCATGACTTCACACAAACAATACAGTCTACTTCTGATGGTCACATAGCATAGGGCAGCTTTGGAGATACTCTTTCCATTAACAACTACTGCACCAAGTGAGCAGTTTCCCCGGCAGGAACTGCTCGTACGTGCAGAGTGTAACTCTTAGCGTAAGTAATGCTGATACGTGTGTTCCCCAAACTCTTAAATTACCCTGAAAACTTAACACAGAGAGATTAATTCTGTAACTTTAGAGGCTAGATTTTATGCTAGTGTTGAAGAAGCCTGGTTCTGTATGTCCGCTCAGACGACATACACAAAGAGAAGATTATTTCAGAAATCAAGTTTTAGCTGCCAGTGCATACCACCTGCCAGAGTACTATAAATTAGCATGCGAGAAGATACCTATTTCAAATCCATTGGAAAAGTCACTAACCATAACAAACCTGTGCATCTTGGCCATCATTAAGTTAATATGCTTTTCAAGCTCTGTGAACGGAATTTTATGATTACATACAGCTTATCTGGAAATCCAGAATTTAATTCTGGATCGGTGAGGTAGTCGATGTAACCATCCTCATGTCGATGTCACACTTCTCCGAAGTTGGTGTGTCCAGTCTCCTTGGCGTGTTCTCTGGCTTCCACTTGCCCAGTCAGTCCCTTCTGGCACACCATGCACCTCAGCGTAAAGCGATTCACATCGGTAAACTGCCTCTTCCGCCTGGCTTCATCCGCCAGCTCCAACGCTTGTGCAAGAACGATATCGTCGGTCGTGGAGAAAATGGTCTGGGGAGGGATGTCCGTGTCAGGGATTTTACGCTCAAGCGGATCGTAGTGAATCCCATCATAAATTAAAAGGACCCGCTTAGTGTAACCGGCATCTTCCCCAAAACGGTCGATTCTGACTGTCT